GTCTTATTCTTGATTTCAAAGGGACGTTTCTAGAATTTTACCATTAAGCAGGGTGCCACCTTTTGGCTATAGACAGGTGTGTTTGTATTTCCCTAGAAGTGAAAAAAATTAGGAACAGGAACTAAATTTTATCAAATGTCTTTTTTTTTTTTTAACATATATGGATATGACCATATGGTTTTTCTCCTTAACCCATTACAGTAAGTGGTAAATTCCTATTCCTGAATCAGGAGGGCGAGTCCCACCTGGTTGTGGTGGCAGTATTCTTTCATTGCGCTATTTTGAATTTTTGCATCACTGTTCATAAATGAGGCCGTGTATGTTTGAATGTCATCTTTCTCAGATTTAGGTTCTCATAATAGCTTTACAAGAAAAAAGTTTGGAAGCTTTACTCTTCATCTGTAGGAACTGGTCAAACAGCATTAAATTATCTACTTAAAGACTTAATATGATTCCTCAGTAAAATTAAACCAAGTGCTTTTCTTCCCTTTTTTAGCGGGACTGTGGGAAGCAAAGCACATTAACTCAAGGACAAATTTCTTATTGTCTTATACTTTTTTTTTCCTTGAGACTCTCTTTTGGCAACAACCTGACAGTCATGGATTTAACTTAGATGGCCTTCTCTTTAATAATTCTTCTGACATCCCTAGTATGTTTGTTTGCCTGTTCTCACTTCCTACTGTGTGACAGAATTTTAAGACAGTTAAATGATAAAGCCAAATGATAGGAGCCAGATTGTATCTATCATTTTCAAATAACATTTCATTTGTCTGAAATTTTGTCACAAGGAAATAATTTTTATCAATCTTGGAAGATGTGTCTGAGATGGTACCAATTAAAATTCAGGTTACATGGCACTTGCAAAAGCCACCTGCAGAGCTCCTTAAAGAGACAGGCCTTAAGAGCAGGTGAGACAGTTACCAGGAGAGGCTCAAAGGACAGCTAATTAGGGAGGACATGCCTCAGGTGTAAAGACAGCAGGGCCAGAGGAAAAAAAACACATTTTACACAGGAGTTCCAAATTGAGAGCCACAGGTTGGAAAATGCAGCACTGATTTCTGCAAATTAGCTGCTTTCCACATGGTTACCCCCAGACAGTGTCCTACTGAGAGTAGCAGCAAGATTTTTTTTTTAAAGAAAAATTAAGTGTTCAATCAAACCCCCCCAAAACCCAACCCCCACAAAAACTAAAACAGTGTAGGTTAGTAGTCTGAGTTACGTTAAGCACATAAAAAATTCCTTAATTCCTAATTACCTTTTCCTGTCTTTTTTCAAAAGAGGATTTGACTTCGTCAGAATCTTTCTGTACATTTAAGGTATCTGTATCTTCAGTTTCCTCATCATCTGGTAGAGCAAAGGTCACTCTTTTCAAGGTTTCTCTGTGTTTACCATTCTCACTTTCTTCAAGGTCATCATCTTCATCCCTGTAAGACCAAAAACACTTATGAAAGGAAATATACCACTTTTCATTAGAAAAACAAAAAGAAACAAACTTTCTAGTAATTAAAGTTCTTCTTTTGTATCTTTACTAAAATTAAATATTCAGAACTACTTTTTTTTTAATTTATAATTTTTAAAGCTTTTTTGGGGGAGCTCTATTTATTTTGATGGAGGTACTGGGAATTGAATCCAAGACCTTGTGCATGCTAAACACCTGCTCTACCACTGAGCTATACCCATTCCCCTAAATACTCAGAACATCTAAAGCCATTCAGTTATCAAGGAACAGAAGGGATGATTTAGGTGAAATGGAACAAACTGTCCAACATATAGAAAACAAATTATTCATCCACCTACAACACAAACTTATTGCACAAAAAATAACAATAGCGTATTCTTATTGGCACAAAAACCACACTAGAGTTCCTTGTAATAAAGGCTGGCTTGCTATTGACAGTGATGTTTATCTCTATTAGCTGATCACTAATGTCCCTTTAAATTCAGAGACTTTTTTCTGGCTAACTTCACACTACCCAATCTTAGGGAATCTACTGTCGATCCAAGAGAATCCAACTTCTTAGGACAAACGTATTTGACAACTATGAGCGCACATCTATGACTGGGCAACTCCAGCTTACAGTATAAAGGATTCAAAATACTCACACGTCAGAAATGCTATCTTCTTCTTCGGCAATTTCCTCCTCTTCATTTGAACCCAGCTCATCATCATGAACACTTGCTGCATCTTCATCACTTTCAACTGGATCAAAGAAATCTTTGTATTTCAGGTTTCTGGAACTTTTACCTGACTAAAACAAAAATACTTTAAAACCTTTCATCAAGGATAGGAAAATATGGGGTTGGGGTGGGTATAGATCAGTGGTACAGGGCATGCTTAGCATGCATGAGGTCCTGGGTTCAATCCTCAGTACCTCCATTAAAAAAAAAGGATAGAAAAATGCAATAAATCGTGCATAACTGTGTACACATACTATACAGGGGAAACTGGCAACTAATAACACTACCATAAACCTGTAAGAACTATTGGACCACAACAACTGAATGGAAGTATAGATTCATTTATAACTGAGAAGACAGAGCACAATATTCTTATCTCTAAATCTTCTAACTACAATTCTTTCCAAAATAAAGTATATGAATGCCTTCCTTTCACTCATATTTTTAGTGCTTGGTGAAAATATGCGTTTGAGGGAAAATCCTGAATCTCTCAAACATGCAACTATAGTTCTTAAGCTACAAAACGAGTGTTTTGTGATAAGGAATGATGGCTTTGGTTTAATTCTTCCAGTCAATTTCTTTCAACTGATCTAAATATTTCACTCATACCCTGCTGAGTTTTGAAGTATTTTAAATCTCTTCTCGAAACACAGAACATCTAATTTGAGGAAGCAGAAAGTGCTCTTTCTGTCCTCTCCCAAAACTTTACCTTAAGATTCTGACTTCCAAACAGTCCTTCCCCTTCATCAGAATCAACATCTTCAAAAAAATCAATCTCCTCCTCCTCTTCTTTTTGTTCCTCTTCCTTTTCCATGTTTTCTAAAAAGGTCTCCATTTCAGATAGTTTGAAGAATTTATCGTCTACTTCGGACTTCTTGGTTGCTTTCCTGGGCACTTTGGTTTGCACCTTGCTCTGCTGCTCCAATTTGCTGATATCAAAGTCCAGATCAGAATCCTCGTCACTGAAATCTGGGCTTTTCCTCAAATCCAATTTGCTGGAGTTTTTAGCTCTTTCGATCCCTCCAGGATCACCACCACTCAGGTATGACACTTCCTCTTCCTCCTCCTCCTCCTCCTCCACATCTTGTCCCAGGTCCTCCTGGCCGCCAGCCTCCATTGCTGAGACAGCATCCTCACACTCCTGCTCTTCACTCTCTGCGAGAAGACTGAGGTCTTCATCTTCAATGGTTTCACTAACTGCATTCTCGAAGTACTGTAAGATTGGTTCATTTTGCAATTCTAGTTGCTGCCAAATCTGCTCATCATCAAAATTATGTATCATCAGTTTTCGTAAAGGACTTCCATGTTTCCTGTCATTTTCTAGGATTTTATTAAAGTCATAAAGTACTTTCGTTAAAGAAGTAAAGTTTGATGCCAGTTCATCTTGAATGCTATTAAGGGGGCAGGGAGAAGGAGTTAAATTAGACTTATAATTATAGGTAATAATTTCCCAGCACTCAGAATTAAAAGAAAAAGCCCAACTCTTGTGCAAAATTAAATTTTTAAAAAAACTTAAGCATGGCTAATTTACAATATTAGTGTCAGGTGTACAGCACAGTGATTATTTTTACTGATTATACTCCATTGAAAGCTATTACAAGATTTTAAACTGACTATACTTCAATTAAAAAAAAATAAGGAGGAGGATATAGCTCAAGTGGTAGAGCACATGCTTAGCATTCATGAGGTCTTGGGTTCAATCCCCAGTACCTCCTCTAAGAATAGATAAACCTAATTACTTTCCCCTACCAAAACAAACAAAAAACCCCAAACCCCAAATAAATTGTCTTTTTAATAAAATAATTACAGACTCACCGCATCTCTTGTGTAACATGTCCAAAATATACTGTTGGTTCTGTTTACTCTCTGTATCCTGCCCTCCCTGAGATCCTCTCCCAATGTTCCACCATCTGCCTTCTAGATCACAGTAAATGGCACCTCTGTCTTTCCAGTCCTTGAGACATATAACTAAGCTACTTCCTGGATGTCTTCCTTTTTCTCTGTTCTACATCTAGTTCCTTTGCAAGTCCTGTCAGTTCTGTCTCCAAACTATACTCTAAATTTGACTACTTCTCCCTGTATCTTGCTCCGATCACAGCACAGTTCTTCATCCTTTGGATGGCCGGAATAACGTCCCAATCAGCTTTTAACAATCTAAAAAATTTTGGTAGGCCAGAGGATCGTAAACTCTCTCAAATTTGAGGAAAAGAGATCTCTCTTTGTTTTACCTGTCTCCTACTCCAGAGTTGCCGAAGGCCTGCAACCCGCGCCCACGTGAGCCCTCGGCCACACTCAGACCCCCGGCTCCGCGCACTTACGTGAGGAAGCGCTCCGGCCGCTCGGTTGCTTTACCAACGTCCCTCAGGCACCGCTCCAAGGTCCGTCGACGCCAGACCCGCGGGGCCATGGCAGACTGCAACTCGGGATACCGCGCCGCATGCAAAGGAACAGGGCCTCCCGGAAACCGCGCTGCAAAACGCACCCGGCTCCACTGCAGGCCGAAGGCTGAGGTTCCGCGGCGCACGAGTTCCGGGCCCACCCCGAGCCAGAGCCAATGGCAGCCCGAGAACTTTCACCTGGCTTGCGCAGTGGGGCGGGGTCGGAAACCGAAGATGGCCATTGGTCAGCTCAATGAACTTTCTACAAACTGTGTTTTGTATTCCTGAGGGGCCCACGGGAGGTGACGCGTCCTCCTTTTGAGTGTTTGCTTTAGATGCGCCAGGTGACTTAGATAGATTGTGTTGTAAAAGAGAGAGCCCGCCCGCAGCACCCACAGCAACACTCGTCAAGCCCCTAGCTTGTCCTCCCCGCCCCTCCGGGCTCTCGCCCCGCCCCGCCAGTTGCCCCGCCCCCGAGGTTGCCCCGCCCCTCGTCGCACCCGACGCCCCTCCGATCCACGTCGGAAGCCGGGGGTCGCTTATCAAGATGGCGCGTGTGTTGGCTGGCACCGCAGTAGGTGAATACTCCGCGACGCCGGGGCTCCGCGAGGGGTGGGCGCGGGACGGGAGGCCGGGCCCGAGCAGGCCGCGCGGGGCCGGCGCCCCTGGCTCTGCTGCGCTCTGCCTCGGAGGCGCGTCCCTCGGTCGCCGTCAGTACCTTTATACAGACAGAACCTTCCAGGGACTCCGCAGACTGGCGTGGGGCTTTCCTACCTGTGTTTGAGTCTCACTCTCCATACGCGGCCCCAGAGAAGCGAGGGCACCCGGCCAAGGGCACAGCAGGGCTGGGGTGGAGGGACCGTGAGTCCCATAGGGGACTGGGGAGAAACCAGAGCGAAGATCAAGTCCTGTAGACTACACGAGCTGAGCCCCAGGCACGGCCAGTATCCTGCTGAGAACACTTGAAGGTCAGTTGTGCGAAAGGAATACTTTTTCCCCACATTCCGTAATATATTTATTATTTTGTATAAAAGCAGGGAATATGGAAGCAGGCGGATTTGGAAGAGTTCTTGAGTTCTCTACACCAGCATTTAAAAAAAAAAAGGCGAGGTAGAATCAGTGATGATAGAAACCCACGTTTCCTGACACCGCACTGCATCCACTTTCTCCTCTTTCTCTCTTTTTCTTTTCTTCATCCTTCAGGGAGCAACTGTTTCCCTTAGTCTGAACTTCCAAGCTAGAAAGGAGGTGCCAGGTGGTAATATCTCAGAATTACTCCTGAACATTTGTGATAACCCTTCTGCTTAGCACCATCAGAACGTGTTCGAGAGGATGCACCTTTAATAAGGTGAGATTTCGCTCCTAGAAGGTGCTCCCTCTCTTCCACCAGTTGAAACTTAAGAGTTGTAGTCATCCTTTTGAAGTCCCATCTCAAACTGAACAAGTTCTTTATTGATCGCTATAGTGTTACCAGTCACAGAATTTCTTTTTGTTGTTGGTTTGGGGTGGGGGGCAGGGGTAATTATGTTTGTTTTTTGTTTTTAAAGGGAGGTATTGGGAATTGAACCCAAAACCTCCTGCGTAGTAAGCATGTGTTCTACCACTGAGCTATACCCTCCCCCACAAAAAAATTTCTTATGTATCTATCATTGCAATTCATCAGGACTAAATGATGGGCCCCACACAAGTGCACCTAATAGTTTTAGCTGTCTCAGCACTTAATCAGTTTAAAGAGGTGAGACATATACAGCCTATGGCTGAGCACAGCTTGTTAAAATGAATCTCTTAATTAACAGATGATGCTCAAGATTTGATAACATCCCCTCCTGGCCCTTATTCCCTCTCCTTGGTAAAATGCAGGTCTGTGTCTTAGCTCACATACCATCTCAACAGGCCTTTACAAAAAAAAAAAAAAGCTCTTAAAACAAGCCATCATCTCTTAGAAAGCTATGTCTTAGGAAATAGATACTGCTCATAAGACATACACTAAAGATATTAAAAATTGAGAAAAAAGAATAATAACGAATGTCAGAGGAATGAGAAAATAAAACATAATAGTTTAACAACATCAACTTTGTTGTCAGAGAGACCTGAGCTTGAGGCCCAACTTTGCCACAGAGTATGACCTGGAGGAAAATTAACCAGGCCTGTTTTTTTCTCTAAATGGGAAAGATACCCGAGCATTCACTGAACTATTACTATTATTTCTACTTTATGGTCACTAAGACCAATAGGCAGAGCCAGGCTACCACGTGATGCCCTCATACTTCAGAACGTGTGAGCACAGTTTGCTTAGGGAAGATTGCATAATAGTATTGTTGCATAATGCTAATGGTGAAATAAATCCATGGATCTTTATTGGGAAAGTGAGGTCAAATCAGCAAGATGTTTCACCGTGGGATCTGTCCACCAATGAAAGTTCCCAGCAGTGTGGAGAATGCCTGAAGACTGGGTCATATCTGTGTTGGGGGTAATAACCAGCTTATAGGTTCTTGAAAGGCAAATTATTTTAAGTATAGTTTCTACTTTTATAAGATACTAAAAAGAGTTCTGAAACAATGATAGTCATGAGCACCATGGATGAGTTAGAGAGTAACTATAAGCAACTAATTTTAAAAACTTGGGAAAATTGTGAATTATTATTCCTGTGTCAAGAAGCAAAAAGAATATTATGCTTATAATAGCTTCCAGCAGCATTATTCCATGAGGATGTCAGTTGTCACTAGATACTGTCAAAGATGTTCTAAAATCAGAGCCCATGCAGTAAATATTCAAAAGTGAAAGGAGAGTAGTCTCCTTGTCATAAAAAGGTAGTAAATTGTGGATGATGAAACAGTGAATATGAAAACACTACGTGTGCCAAAATATCCACCAAATACAAGTACTCTTTAATTACTGAATAAGAGTTTTAACACAGCAGCAGTATTGTGAATAGGGCAGGTACACAGTCAACGTTTTCCTTTAAAAACATAAAATACATTAAAAGTCAGAAGTGCTTATATTTATAAGCAGGTTATTGATGTAACCTTTCTAAAAGTGCCGATAATGAAATCCTTGGAGTTTATGATGTACTTCGTGCCAGGCACTTTCCTAAACCTTGCCTATGTAACGTCATGACAATATTACGAGGTAGGTATTATCTTCCTACACGAGAAACAAAGACACAGGGTAAGCAGCCCAAGTTACACAACGAATGGTAGTATCAAGATTTGAACCAGAGCCCACATACTTAACCATAGGGCACACTGCGTCTTATTTTTATGTGTGTGTTTTTAAAAGTACTTGAGAAAATTAAGGGACAGTGAGTATAACTGCCAAGTCATACATTTATGGCAAGAACCAAATACTAATAAAGATACATGTCTCGTTTGTAACTTACATAGACATCTTTGCATAAAGGAAAAATGAAATGAAAATAGTGTATTCCAAAGCCTGGCTTGGATTTATCCTGCATTAGAGGCTTGAACCTGAGATGACCTCACTTTTTCTTTTTATGTGGTTAAATATACATAACATAAAATTTACCATTTTAACCATAATTAGGTGTACAGCTCAGTGGCATTGAGGACATTCATATTGTGCGGCCATCATCATGTCTCCAGGCCTTGTTCATCATTCCACACTGAACCTTGGTACCCATTCAGCAGTAACTCCCATTTTCCCCCACCTTTAGCCCCTGGTAAATAACCACTGTTCTGCTTTCTCTCTGTAAATTTAACTACCCTTGGGGCCTCTTAGAGGTAGAATTATACAGTATGTCCTTTGTGACTCACTTGTTTCCTTAGCAAACTGTTTTGAATGTTCATCCATGTTGTAGCAGGTGTCCGAATTTCATTCCTTTTTAAGGCTGAGTAATATTTCATTTATGTGTACCACATTTTGGTTATCTTTTCATCTGTTCATGGACATTTGGGCTATTTCCACCTTTTGGCTATTGTGAATATATACTTACAAAATGGGTATATAAATACCTCTTCAAAATCCTGCTTTCAGGTCTTTTGAATATATACCCACAGTTGGGATTGCTGAATCAAATGATGATCTTATGTTATGACCACACTTTTAAGGAACATGAAACTAACAGGAAAACAGGAGAAGCTCAGGAAAACAAATAAGGTTAAAAACACAATCCGTTCTGATTTGGCTTGCAAAGAATTGGCTTCATGATAAAAGCTTTGAAATGGAAATTGAACCTGTTAAAGACAAGAGTGGCCAAGGTACATGACTATGAGGAGACATATGTAAATGGAGTAATAAATGTTGTCTATTTACTAACTGTGTTGGGTAAAGACTTACTCCTCATCATAGTTTTAAACAGGATGAAAATACGTGTATGGTGCCATAAATCCTCTGGATGCATGCTGAAAACCAATCAGCTTCTTACCAAACTAACTCGAAGGCACTTGTGATGAATGACTTTCTTACTATGTCCTGTCTCCTCAAATGAAATGTGCAAAAATTCAGACTTAAAAACTTGTTGCATGTGGGGGAGGGTATACCTCAAGTGGCAGAGTGCATGCTTAGCATGCCCACAGTCCTGAGTTCAATCCCCATTAAAAATAAATAGATAAATAAACCTAATTACCTCCATTAAAAATAAATAGATAAATAAACCTAATTACCTCCCCCCTAAAACAAAACAAACAAAAACTTACTACACATTCTAAGATTAGATTATGTGAAGTTTGCACAGCTTTGCAAATATACAAAAAACAGTTGAATCGTCCTCTTCAAATGGATAGACTTTATACTATATAAATTATATCTCGGTAAAGCTGTTGAGGAAACCTTATTACAAATGAATATTCACATTTTTATGATACTTTATGTACAGATTTAACACATTTTCTTTAAACAGTTAAGTCCCCTTAATGCAGTTAAGTATAGACCCTGGCAGCTAAACTTTTTCTTATTTGGAGGCAATGTCTGGAAAGCCTGGGCAGAAATAAAAACAATCTGAATGGAAAGGAATGCAGTGTTATTTTTAAGTCAAGGCACTGAAAGTGTTTAGCAAGAAACAATATTGAAAGAAAGTTAGAAATTAGAGTTAACATACATACCAGGTTTGGTAACATATCTATTTCTTGTACATCAGGTTTCTGATGGGTGTGAAAATCAGGTGTTTATCTTTACCGTTCCTGGTTTTTGTTTTGTTTTTAACATTCTTGTTTTTAACTATCTGTTTATTCCCACATTTATGCATTGTAGTTTATTCTTGGGAAGTAATCTTTCTTTGGAATAGTCACAAATTTACACATGGAGTTCAAAGTAATACAATTCTGTTGTACCTTTCTGAGATGGGACAGAGAAATCTCAAACTTAAAAGAGCTGTGAATCCCTATGGTTGGAGGGCAGTCTGAATAAAAATACTTTTAAAAGTTGGCAAAAATCAAGGGAGAAACTATAATATTTTTAAATTTCTGTTCACAACAGACTCTTCAGCAACACATTTTTTTAAGTATCTGCAAGGATCTATATCAGTGTAACTCCTTTATGCTACGTTTCCAACCCCAGTAAGATTTCACATTTCACTCATAGACTCCTCATCAGTGCTTTTCTTTTTTTGTGGGTGTGAAGTACTATCTTACTGTGGTTTTGATTTGCTTTTCTGTAATGACTAGTGATGTTGAATGTCTTATGCGCTTATCTTTTTACATTCTTTACGCTTCATTTTAAAGAAGCAGAATTACTGAATTCTCACCAGTATCACTGTATTTATTTTTATCCTATTCCTAGAATATATGCTTTAGGGACCAGATAAGATAAAACCCACAAAGTGATTGTTCCTTTCTCAAATTAGTTTACATTTCTAGAAGTAAGATAAACTAAAATATGGCCGTAAGATCTTAGTTTTTACATTATATGAAGATGTTATTGTCTGTTTTCCTAACATAGAAAGAAAACTTTATGTCCCATTGAAAGGAAAAAGAATCAGCATTCCAGTAAACTGTATCCTCTTCTCCCACTTCCATGATAATGAAGTTATGGAGAAAGATAGAGTGAGGCTGCCAATAACATGAGTTGCTTGGGCTTTCTTTTCAGCGCCAGGGTTTTTGAAATGTCCCCAAAGCAAACTGACCTGGTGTATAAAACTTGACCTTCACTTGGCCCTCTTCTAAGTTACTGCTTTGACATTTCTGTGTGCTCTGTTGCTGGTAAGAGTGCCTGTGAAATAACCCCCAGCTGCCCTATCTCCCGTAGAGATAGCACTAGGAAGGGGAATTTGGAAATTTACGGAGCAAACAACACTGAGGTGCATATTACTCTAAAGCTCATGGACTGTATCTAGTTGTTTTTTTTTTTTTAGGTACAAATACATCCTACGTTGAACTTCCATTGCAAATTGCACACACAGTAGGGATGCAGGAAAGGGGGGGAAGAGCAGTTTGACCAATAATTCAGTTGGTTGGTAGCATTTTTTTTTCAAGGGAGGTACTGGGGATTGAACCCAGGACCTCATGCTTGCTAAGCACGCTCTCTACCACTGAGTTATACCAACCGCCCCAGGTTGTTAGCATTTTTAAAATTCACTAGCACCATGCCCTTCAGATAATTTCTTGGTCTCAGGTGACCCTGCATGACACTCAACAAGCAAACATCCTTCTATGTCATTAACAATAAGAATGGCTGAATTTATCGTACACCTGTTATATATATCTTGCACTGCAGTGTTATATTTTTATTAGAGCACATCACATCTAGTGAGGATTAGGTATTCTTTTCATGAAACTTACATCCGGTTGTACATGTATGTCCGTGTGTACTGGTTTGGAGTACACTTGAACTTCAGGATCATACAGTGAGTCCAAAGAGCCAGAGTGTCAGAGGAGAACACAAGCCCTGGATGGAACAGTGCATGACAGAGAGAAGACCTGGGGCGAGATCAGCCTCAGTGGTGGGTGCCCACCCTCCACGGCCAGCGGGTCTCTGCCAGTGGCCAGTATGGGACAGTTTGCCTATCCACAGCCCTTTTGTGTCACAGTAGAAGGAACCCTGTTCCCTCCCTGCAGAAGACAGATATAACAGTGGGGTTGGCCACATGACACTCACCCTTTAAGCAGGGACAAAGCGTGCATTGAGCCTGAAAGAAGGAAAGATAGTCTGTCCCCACAAGGTGACAAGCCAGGCCAGGCTGTGTGGGCTCTTTATCTCTTGGGAAGGGAGCGCTCTAGGCCCACGGCCCATCCCTCTGCAGCTGAGAGGGGATTGGATGCCTGCACCAGGAGACTGCCTTCCCATCGAGGTTTATGGTCTTAAATAGTGTTGCTTCAGTTTCCTCGTTAACCAAAGTTTTAGTTTTGTTCGCTGAAGCTCTGTGATACTAGGTACTATTTAAAGTGTTTTTTCATTAAGAGTTAAGAACCCTTTATTTAAAATGTGTGCTCTTCAATTTGCTATTTCATACTTTTTTTCATTAAGTCATGTAGCTTTACAAAAATAAATTTAGACCTCGTACATGTGTATAATTTTCATTCTGGGGAGAATTTGGCTTTTAAAGCCTGGTGTTTGGGGGAACTGGAGAAACAGTGATACCTGGGGGCAACACACTGCAGGCTGCTTCAGTTTCCAAATGAAAGGTTTCTTCTCATTTAGAAGTTCTTCAAATCCTTCAAAGTTATAAAAAGAACAATAAAAAAAATCTGGCTCAGAGGAAATTCTCCTAAGTTTACCCTCTTGATTGTTGCTTATTTTTCCTCTGATAATGAGATTTTTCTAAGTTGATAATTATCCGAATAAAGTACACATTAAAAGGTACTTATAACTTTAATGAACTTAACTGCAGAATATAAGACAAAGTATTGGTTATAGGTAGGGAAGAAAATTGCGTGTTCTTAATCGTTAAACGTTGTGTTTTTTCATTATTACAGTCAGACTTACCCTTTATGAAATGCAGAGAATAGCAAGTAATTCTTAATGATAGCTGGCTATTTTTTAAGTGTTGTCAGTAAATATAAATTATTATGAAAAATGGCATCCTTTGTTCTGAATCTAAAAAGCTCAGAATTAGCATTTTAATTCCAGACAGTTGTTTCAGAGCAGAGTGAGCAGCTTTGACATGGGTTGTTTCATTTATCTCCTCTGATTTAATTTCAGTAATTAAAAAGCCCAGTTATATATACATTTTTTTACATATATAATTTATTTTGTTTTGTAAAAATTTAACTTTAAAAGGGCACGAATCCTCAGAATAAGAATATCAATGGCTCTTTGACTTTTCAGGGCTCTTTTCCAGACTTCAGACTCCAGTTCCAACAGTAAAAACTTTTTCCACGTCACAGTCCTCGCTTCAAGTGCCCGGTGCTATCTGGAATCTCGGTCAACTCAATCATGTAGCAGTGGCAGTGCCAGACCTGGAAAAGGCCAAGGCACTTTATAAGGATGTTCTGGGGGCCCAGGTAAGTGAGGCGGTCCCTCTTCCTGAGCATGGAGTGTCCGTTGTTTTTGTCAACCTGGGAAATACCAAGATAGAGCTGCTTCATCCATTGGGAAGTGACAGTCCAGTTGCAGGTTTTCTGCAGAAGAACAAGGCTGGCGGAATGCATCATGTCTGCATTGAGGTACTTAAATTATTTTAATGTTGTAAATTTCTCTTTTTAAAATGTCTTACTTTTTCAGGCTACATATTGTTACTGTCCTCAGAAACTTGTAAGTTTCTTTCAAGGGAATGGTAACACTGGTCCTATTCAAGGGTGGGTCTGTAGGTATATTCTCTTTCTCTCTAGAAAACTGCAAATAATAAGAATATGTTTTATGAAAATCTGGATGCAGCAGTCACTAGATAAAGGCCCCTGAAGTTGGCTAAAGCACATCTGAGTCTTTGCTGTAGCATCTCTGTGATCAGTGCGGCCTTTCCTGCAGCGAGAACACATGAGGCAGTGAGAAGTGGCGAGTGAGGAGACTATGGAGTAAGAATTTCCAGATACATGCTAACTATTAGAATTATTTTCTGTCCTTAAAATTCTAATACCCAGTTCCTCATACAGAGGCAATGCATTTTCAGTGACTGACTGGGATTTTTAAGATCTTCTCAGTTGCATCTGCTGGCAGTTCCTGAAAAAACATGAAATGCTGGGCAAGAACATTCTCATTAGAGAGCCTTTATCTGTCAACGTTCATGTTCAGATTGCTGCTTTTGGAATATTTGCATTACCAATTATGCTTCAGCTTAATCTTTTTTTTTGGGGGGAGGCGTAATTAGGTTTATTTATTTATTTAATGAAGGTGCTAGGGAATGAACCTAGGACCTCATGCATGCTAAGCATGCCCTCTACTGCTGAGCTAAACCCTCCCCCCAGTTTAAATTACTTTGACAGGACAATTCTTTTGTTAGAAGTAATGACATGATAGTTAAGCCTCATTCCCAATCCAGAAGAGACGGGGGTTGATTCTAGGGTGAGCTAACTCCAGGAGATACCTAGTTCATATTGCAAACATATTTGAGAACCTAGGGAGTGTCCCCTGTTGAGAACCTCGGTTTAGCAGTGAGTGAGAAAGATGTGACCATGCCCATGGTGCAGAGGGTCAGCTGTCTAAACAGGCAGTTACAGTGGACTGTGGGAAGCAGAATTCATAGAAATGTCCTTCAGTTGCCCAAATGAGGGAAAGAGGGATTTCTCCTGGCAGGCCGACGTGGTAGGAAGGTATCGCAGGGCATGAGTTATAATGAATGTGACGAATTCCCCAAGTGGACAAGAGGAGGAACATATTCTGAGCAGAGGGAACAGCATGTGGTTACAGAGTTACGTGGTTAGACCTGGAGATCATCATTCTAAGTGAAGTAAACCAGAAAGAAAAAGAAAAATGCCATATGATGTCACTCATACATGGAACCTTAAAAAAAAAAGACACAAATGAACTTATTTACAAAACAGAAACAGGCTCACAGACATAGGAAACAAACTTATGGTAACCAGTGGGGGAAGGGGGTAGGAAGGGATAAATTGAGAGTTCAGAATTTGCAGATACAAACTACTATATATAAAATAGGTAAACAACAAGTTTCTTCTGTATAGCACAGAGAACTATATTCAGTATCTTACAGTAACCTATAATGAAAAAGAATATGAAAAGGAACATATGTATGTATGTGTATGACCGAAACATTATGCTGTGCACCAGAAATTTACCTAACATTGTAAACTGACTATACTTCCATTAAAAAAAAGAGAAAGGCACAGAGCTGTCATAACTGCTAACGTGGAGTCCTCTGGCAGTAAGTGAATAAAGTACTCAATGTGCATTATTTGATTCTCATAGCTGCCCTGTGAGGGCAGTGTTAACCCCCATTTGATGGGTGAGGAAACTGAGACTTGGAATAGTTCACTTGCCCTTAGTCACATTAGTACTAGTGGCAAAGCTGGGCTTCAAACCCAGATTTGTGCTGATCCCGGGATTGGCACTGTTGGCCACGGTGTCGGATGGCCTGCATTGTGTTAGCCAAGTTTACAGCTTCAGGTGGGGAGGCTGTAAGGTGTTAGACGAGGGAGCTAAACAAGGCTAGTATTTAACCTTTATCCCCTTTTTAGGAGGTTGATTTTGGCTGCAGGTCTTTATTTCATTGGACTTGAGGGTTTGTGTAAGAACCCCAGGATGAGAAACAGGGTCAGGAGCCTTTCAATTTACTCTTTCTCCCACACTACTCTGTCTCTTCCACATCAGAGCCGTGCCTTCAAAGGAGCCGCTATGTAAGTTAGAAGTTCAGTTAAGTACAGAATAGTGGAAGTTGAGTGATGTAACAGAATTCAAAAGAGAGATTAAAGGGGGGAAACAAAAATGTTTATCCATATAAAATGAAGGTCGGAAGGAGGAGGAGGAGGTGTGACAAGTGGTCAGGTAACTGCCGCATTAGCAGGACACAGCTAGTGCTTATTCTCTGCTCTCAGTAAAAAACACAGTGTCTTAACATAGGTAGATTTTATTTTCCTGTTCTCAGTCTAAAATGAGCTGTCCCAGGCTAAGGGATGATCTAGAAATGACAGGTATCACTCCTGTTCCTGTCATTGGTGTGGCCACATGGTACACTTGACCGCAAGTATGCTGTGTAGTCAGGCAGTATCGTGCACTGCTGAAATGTGGGGTTTGCTGGAATTAAGAGGAAGAAATGGGAAATGGGTACCGGGACCACCAGTTTATGTACATGCGGTGATTTTTAAAAAGCGGTGTGGCCGGGAGAGCCTGACACTTTTTCTGAGTGAAGATGGGCTCTAAGATGGAATCATTTGAGAAGTATTGCCACCTGCTGTGGCAGCCTGTGAAATGAACTTGTCACCAGAGGCAGGGGTGTGGTTCCCTGAGTCATCAGATAGAGAATTCCTTACCAGTCCTTGAACCGGGAATCTATTTTTATTGAAGGAAGCTGCAGAGAGTTCAGGTTAATTATTTTACTATGGTATAACCTAGTCTATTCTGGCTAATGTAACTTGAGTCTGATGTTACCTGCCACTGAAAGTGCAGAAATGATGGAACGGGTCAGACAGCACTCCTTTGGCCATTCCAGTCACTGCCATGTAACCCGTGATCCCAGAACTTTGGGGTGTTACACAGCAGCTGTTTTCTCTCGCTCAGGACGTTGTGGTCTGGGAGTCTGGGGGAGGCTTCTGCTGGGTGGTTCTTGCTTGGGATCTCTCCTGTGGCTGCAGTGAAGGCTCTCCTGGGCTGGGTGTCCCATCCATGTGCTGGGGGTTGCTGCTGGCTGGCAGCGGGGAGCTCGGCCCTGCCTTCCAGCAGGAGCTTTGCAGGCTGAGAGTAGTTCTCAGGGCACTTGGACTTGTCACCGGACTTCTCAGTCACAGATGACTTGCTGATTTCTTACTGGCCAGAGTGAGAGTCCCAAGAAGGCCAGTGGGGCCACGCGGCCCTTCTGTCCTCACCTTGGAAGTCCCACAGCAGCACTTCTGCTGTCTGATGGTCAGAAGCAAGTCCTCAGTGTGCACCCGGTGCAGCAGGAGAGGACGTGGATCCCAGGTACCCCAGGATGGGAGCAGGAGCAGCAGGGAATCTACGGACACGTCTCACAAGTGCCACTGCCACCAAGGTAGTGATGTATGCTACACAGAGGAAAGTGGGGGAAACTTCTAGAAGCTCTAGAGTGATTTTATGCCAAACAGCCAGAAGTGGGAACCAACCGCATTCCCTGTGCAAGAGGTGGCACCCTCTCTGGCCCTTGTTTATAAGGGGAGTCAAGAGACAGGTGCTTGAAAGGTAGAAGGTGATAAATACGCATCCACCAAAACCAGGTGCTTCCACTTTTCCCAGCTGTTTTGGGAAGAGACAGCATTCAGAGATGTGTCTGCTGATAATGCTTACCATCAGCCTTCTATGACTTCGTGGTTCATAGTCTTTTTTTTTTTTAATGCCATTCCTTTTTTAAAACTGTTAAATCCATCCATCAGAGAGTCGGCTTTCCTCTCCGGGATGATCACCAGGGCTCTTTATGTTCTTTTTCCCTGGGACCTCCTGTAAAACCTCCAGCTGGGGAGTGTGTCTATTCTGGGCACGTGCCTTAGCTTTTCGTTGACTCAACAAAGATGTCAGACAAAACGTTCTTTCTCTCCTACATGGTTTAGCATTGTACCAGTTATCCGTATTTTTCTGGCGAAGCTTTTTTTTCCCCCAACCTCAGTGTCTCTTTCTTTTTTGGGTCTCCATTTTCTCTGGCGAGGTTGGCCCAGACTTCTTATCCTGGTGTGTTTGCCTGTCACTCGAGCAGGCTAAGAGGTCACCTTGTTCTGTCTCTTCCCTTGCCTGGAAACCAGGTGGCCTGCTCTTGTCCAGCACGGGTTGTGTTGATGCCGACGTGTGCTCCAACCTTTTGCAGGCCTGTCCCTGAGAAGATGATTCTGGTATTTAATAGAACCAGCCCTGCTTTTACTAAATAACTTAGACAACAAGGTAAAACACAGTGGAAACCGTAAGGGCCACTAAAAATATTGGCTTATTCAACACATTCGTACTGTTAGAAAAATATTTCAGTGCACCCATGCTAGTTGGTAAACAGGTGCTGCTCTAAACCTTCTAACATCTTCCTTCTTGAAGGCCCCTTCTCTGAGACCCCTCAGGCACCCTCTGCCCCCCAACGCACACAGTTCAGCAGCTGAAAGGTTACTACCCAGCACAGCAGGGTCCCCCAGGGCTCTGGACCTGTAGAAGGTCCCTTCTTGTTGGGGTCTTGTTTGTGTTGTCTTCCTGGTTGGTAAGTATTTTCGGTATCACTCTGACCTTCACCGCGTTAGGTGCCGAGGCTATGTAGCTGAACGAAATACAGAGTCCCTGTCCTCATGGGATCACCTACTTGCTTCATTTATTCACGTATGCCCTGCATCTTCCACAGAGGACTAGAGGTGACTGACCCAAATACAGCCCATAAGATGCAAAAGGATAAACATGAGTAACAGGGAAAGATAGACAAAAGAGGCAAATGACATTAGTGTACCTACTAGTTCTGCCAAATATTTCTCTTTTTTTTTTAGCTTTTTTTTCCCCCAGCTTCAGTGTCTCTTTCTTTTTCGGGGGGAGGGGTTTAATTAGGTTTGTTTGTTTGTTTGTTTTATTTGTTTTT